AAAATTCCCTAGGCCAGACCCGCTTNAAGAAACGTGATGGGAGAAATGGCCTGTGAACAGATATTTGCATGAAGAAGAGGTTCTCAAATCAGCCAATCCAATCAAAGGCCACCTGCCCAAGGGGGCGGCTGAGATGGATTACAGTGAAGTATGGATCTGAGGCAGGAAGAGTTGGGTCATTCTGCTTTGGTGACCAAGCTAAGGGGGACAGTCAGAGTCCCACCTCGTTTAGAGGATCACTGCAGCTAACATGGGTAGTAAAGACAAGATGATTGTTTTGTTGTCAAGGATAGGATATAAGATATAAAAGGTGCTTTTGTTTTTCAAATGCAACTGGACTTTCTACTTTTTGTCCTTGAAGATATTTCGCTTCTCATCCAAGAAGTTTCTTCAGTTCTGACTGAATGGTAGAGAATGGAAGGGTTTATATTCCTTGGTCTTAGCACTCCGAAGGTCGGTCATTCGCTCTCTGAGAATTGTTGAGGCCACTGGGGGGTTTAATCTGTACTTTCAAGAGTGCAAATGGGTGTGAAAACTTCACCGAGCCAAAGGACTGTGTTGTAAACAGGAGACAGGTGGTGTCGTGCCCCTCTCTCCCCCTCTGTTGAGAGAGGGCTGCTCATTTTTAACGTGGATGGCCTCCTTGACCCTTCTTTCAAACCGGTGGTCCTCTCTGTGTAGAATGTGGATTTTCTCCAGAATGTGAGAATCTCCATAGACAGATTGCTGGTAGTGTTATCTTCCCTGGCTAAACTAGAGGCTGGGTACCTACTAATCACAATTTGGGGTAAATCTATACAAGGTTTGTGCCTCCAGAGGGTGCAATTTCACATCACACAGAGCCAGCATCTGCTCGTCCTGGAAGCAGCCATTCCATTCAAAAATTTCCACTACTGCATCCTACTGTGGTCTCCTCAAGTCTATTTCTTCCCAGCGCAAATCCCAAGGGATTTGAATAGCTTTTGAACTCCCTGCTCCAGAGCGGATTTCAGTATCTGGAAAAAACAACAGCATTCCAGTTCTTAGTTTGTTTACAACCACAAATGAAAATATTTTTAAGAACTTGCAAATACAAGTCAAACAAACAAACATGCGAAAACCCCAGTAAAATGAACAGGACAAGCAAAGGGAACAATGTTCTTGGGGTTTTTTCCTACTTTTTCGCCATACGGACATAATAACTGTATCTATATAAAAATTGCTACAGTTTTTAAACAAACCATGAAACCTGAACTGCACGGAATCAGATCATTTGGTGCCTATTTTCTGACAAGAACCAATTCAAAAGAGGAGAACTGACCACTTGTGGTATGTGACACACAAGTGTCCTTCGAGGAATACAAAACAATATTTTCAGCAACTGACTGCACAGGGCGTATCCCAAGTGCTTCATAAATGAACAGATCTGATCACAAGGAACTAATTGTAAAAATGATCAAAATATATGCACTGTGTTTCATCTCTAACCGGAGAGGGATAATCCAATTTTCTCTTTAGGAGACCAATAAACCTGAAAAAGAATTTTTGTTGCATGCTTCTTTTTAGATCATAACAAATATATTTAATATTCCTTAAGACTTGAAACTATTGGCTTCGTAATAGAAGAATCTGTTTCTCCAAATTTCTTGTACATTGCTCAAAATTATTGTACTATTTTTTTTAAAAAATGTTGATAGCATTGTTGTTTAAGCGCCTATATAAAAACCCTTCTGTAATACATTCAGAGGTACAAGGTTTTCAGAGGAACTGTCCTAAACCCAGAACATGATTTCACTCATTATGAGCAGTTTTCTAGATGTAAAGAAGATGTTGGTTCTTCTCAACACAGCTAGCCTTTAGGGATCTTCATTTATTCATTCATTCGTTCATTTGTTTGTTCGTTCTTTCATTCAATTCATTTGTTCATTCATTCAATCATATCCCGCTTTTATTATTTTCACAGATAACTCATGGCGGCAAGTATATCCAACACCCCCCCTTCCTCCTAACTATTTTCCCCATAACAACAACTCTGTGAGGTAGGCTGGGCTGAAAGAGAGTAACTGCCCCAAGGTTATTCTTGAACTCCTGGTCTCTTGCTTCCTAGCCTCGTGTCTTAACCGCTACATCAAATCTTCCCAAAACTCTTTTGCACCAAGAAGTGTGCACATTTAATAAGCAGTGGTTTCTCCCTGGTTGTGTACTCCTGAAACTGTCCTCCAGTACTCAGGGGAATAATTAAAGCTAACCTCACAATGCTCCAGAAAGCTTCCCTTAATCCCTCTCTTCAAACGTCCCCCAGGATTGCTTGCGGAGTTTAACTGGGTCATATCCACGGCAAGGTAAACTCGAACTAATCCACATTCTAACAAATTTGTGTGAATACAACAAACTGGAGCCTAATGTGTGACTCAAGATATGGGGATGTGCAGATGTGATTTCTTGATATCTGTCACGATGTGGGAATCTGTGGTGAAAAGATAAGGTTCAAGGATGCCAATAGTTTGTTAAATTATATTCTAAGATGTTCGGAATTTGTCCATCCACAATATGTTTGCTAAGCGGGAGCAGACCTACTTGATGGAGTTTTGCCTGAATGAATGGAATTTAATAAGTGTATTTATTCTGTTGTGTATTATTCTATGATTATTGATTAATAAACGGGCAACTTTATTTTTGTATAAAACTATTGGGGGGGGCACTTTATAATATTGGGCCCAATGGGACTTCCCGAGCAACTAATAAACTTTAAAGACATCTGAAAGGCAACAAGAAAGCATCAGATTTAAGAAAGCAGGATTCCTGGTCAGAGATGAAGATACAGGCTGCTTGCTGAGAGAAGTAAAAGGTTATAAAAGCAACATCTATCTGCAAACACAGATGAATCCTCTAGTCTTACACCCATTAAAACTTGCCCGATTGCCGGATTCTTAAATGGATGTGAGCATTAGCCTTCTAAAACATTTTAATTGGCCAAATACATCTTCTTTACACCCAATAACATTTTAACTGATTGCATTCTAACCAGGGACTGGCACAGTCGCATTGCCAACTATAATTCAACAGCGGTTGGCTGGATCAGATTTCTGGTCGCTTCACGCCCTGTTGAACTGGCCAAGATGCAGATAAGTTATAGGATAGGATAGGATAGGATAGGATAGGATAGGATGGGATGGGATGGGATGGGATGGGATAGGATAGGATAGAATAGAATAGAATAGAATAGAATAGAAGTTGGAAGGGACCTTGGAGGTCTTCTAGTCCAGCCCCCTGCTCAAGCAGCTAAGTGACTGTCCAGTCTCTTCTTAAATGCCTCTAGTGATGGAGGGCCCACCATTTCTGAAGGCAAAGCTGTTCCACCGGTTAATTGGCCTCACTACTAGGTAGTTACCTGGACTTAACTTCGACGATTTAACTTCAGCGCTACTTCTTTGCAAACTTAAGTGTGGGCGCCTCCTTCTATGGCATCTACCGTACCTGCAGGACCCCCAGCGCTCCTTTGGCCCTTCGCAGTGTCGCTGCTTTCATCCAGCGACCCTCGGAAAACGGCTCTCCCCACTTGGCCGCGGAGGCGCCTTCAAGGTAGCTTTCGTTGAACTGCGGTCTGCCTGCCAGGTAAGCCCTGGCCGCGTTCGCCCAGCAAGCCCAAGGGCGCAAGCAATCCAGCCGGGCGCCTTCTTTCCTCCTTGCCCGCGCAGCTCTCCTGCGCGCGGTCCGGCGCCCGGCGCAGTGCCCGCGGGCGCTGCCATCCGTCCTCCGCACCAGCAGGTTACCCTAAGCCAGCTTCCGTTCTCCGCCTGCCATCCTCGCCGCCCGGACGGAGCTCGGTGATCTCGGTCACCGGGAGACGCCTCGCTGCCGGGGGCGAAGCGGGAGAAGCGCGCCCGGGGCCTGGCTGGCCAGGTGAGCTCCGACAGGTGCGCCCGCTCGCGCGCTCTTCCCGGCCGGCCGGTTGGGCTGGGCTGGGCTGGCTGGGCTAGCGGCCGAAGAGCCCGGGCTATCGCAGCCGGGAGCGCTCCTGCCCAGCGGGGATGCGCTTCGGGCGCCCGCGGGAGCGCGAGGCCGCGGGGTCTTCGGAGAAAAAGCTGGAGGCGGCGGCGCGCGCGCGCAAGGAACGCGCAATGTCCGGGCCAGACGTGCGCCACAGGTTGCGTTTGGGCACAAGCGAGGCTGGGGCTCCGTTCCGCATCTTTCCGCCCGTGCACGGGATTGCAACTCCCATGCGCCGCGGCCGGGGGCGGGGAGGAGGAGAGGGTCTCCGCGGAGTTAATTCACGCGGTGGCCTTGCTCTAAGGGATACACCTGGTGACTGAGGGATGGAGATCCGCATGGCTCGGGCTGTATGGGGTGAGCTATGGTTAAGGGAGGGAGGGAGGGCTTGTCCTGTGGGGGTCGGGAACCCAACCATAGATCCCATGTGGCTTGGTCATGGAAGGACCAGAAAGACCCTCTGGCGTGATGCGTTCCACCTTGTCAGCTTTAAGATGGGTGGGATTCAACTCCAGTTTCTGAGTGTTGATGTTCCGCCATGTGGGGACACCTGAAGGACCAGGTTAGGGACTAGTTGTCCTGGAGAAAATCTAGGTGGTTGCTAAGAATTGACAACAACTTGATAGCACGTCATCCCTCCATCAATTTTATTTTATTTTATTTTGGTTCTAAATTCTTGCTTGCTGCTCAGACTCACAGGAGCCAGACAGGCAGCCATATAAATTGCTTATTCAAAAAAAAAATTACCTCCTTTCCTTAGAATCCTGATGCAATTAATAATGGTGCCATTTATCCAGAGATGTCAGGAATGTTGGCCTCCTGACCTCTGTGTGATTTGTTAACAACTACCTTTGTGTGTATTTGTTGGCGTAGATGCCTATATTGGTTGTCGGACATATCAACTATTTGTAACATTTGCGACTCGTTCATTCGTTCATTCGTTCATTCATTCATTCATTCATTCATTCATTCATTCATTCATTCATTCATTCGTCTCTTTCCACATTTCCCTTCTATTCCCCTGCAGGAGGATGGTGGCCATGATGCTCTGGGTGGCACTCAGCCTGTGTGGCTGGCTCTGCCTCTACGCCTGGTCCTGCCATCATTACCACGGGCGCGGCTGCGAATGGAGCTGCCGATTGGTCACACTGACCCATGGGGTCTTTGCCACCTGCCTCTCTGGCTACATTGGGTTTATCGATGGTCCCTGGCCCATGACTTACCCAGGTAGGCCAGTCCATTTCCATAGAACCAAACTTCGAGTCTCCCTTTTATTCTCTGAGTTCCCACAACAAGCCACACCATTAAAGACTGCAGGCAATCCGCGACTCAGAATCATTCGTTTAATGGACATTCGAACAGCACCGAGAAAAGGGACTTATGACCAGTGGTGGGATTCAAAAATGTGAACAACCGGTTCTCTGTGTGGATGCCACTTCTGGAAGTCCATTCTGGGCCTGGTCAAAAAAAATTAGCTATCGGTTCTGCCGAAGTGGTGTGGACTGGCTGAATCTCACCACTGCTTATAACCGTTTTTCACACCTATGACCACTGCAGCATCCCCTTGGTCACGTGGTCAAAGTTCAGGCGATTGGCCACAGGCATGTACTTACAACAGTTTCAGTGTCCCGGGGTCACATAATCCCCTTTTGCAAACTTCTGACAAGCAAAGTCAATGGGGAAGCCAGATTCACTTAACAACCGTGTTACTAATTTAACAACTGCAGGGACTCAACAACTGTGGCAAGAAAGGTCATAAAATGGAGCATGACTCACTTAACAAATGTCTCAGCAACAGAAATGTTGCCGTAAGCCGAGGACTACCTGTAACCAAGATTCTGGTAACTGTGAGATCTGAATGGCAGCCGTGATTTTTCTCTCTTGCTTTACTCCATTCCTCTCCTCTCTCCTCTCCTCTCTGCTCTTCTCTCCTCTAGGGTTCCCAAATACAGTACTTCAGCAGGTGCGCAACACGTAGTCAAACCCGATGAAGGACAAGCTGGACCCGACCACGCAGATAAAATTCCGGCTTCCTGGGAACTACAACCAGGTGGTGAGTCAGTCGTAGGACCCGTAGTCGCGGAGGGACCGGAACCCGCTCAGCCGGCGGCTCCAGTTGCGGCAGTAGAAACCATCACTTGAGTGGTTGGGAAAGGACGAGGCCCGCTGGTTCCTGCGGGAAAAGGGGCTGTACCCCAGCTTGATAGGCGATGTGGTGGACTTCCTCTTTGTGGTGCTTTTTGCTGGCGTGAGGATCGGGGTTGGGGCTTGGCTGATGTACTGCGTGCTGTTGTCCCCCAGGCCCAGGGTCTTCATCAAGGTTGGAGGTCTCATAATGTATGCAGTATCTTGCTTTTTCATGGTAAGCATTTTCCGATTTGCCCGGCGCAAAACCATGAAGAAATATCACGCGTGGAAGGCATGGTGGAACAAAGAGGTGGACTTGAACACCAATGGATATCTCAAGAGTCACTGACCAGATCGTGGGTTGTCTATCCAAGATTTAGCATCAATAATTAGTCTGGGCTGCACCTGCAAGATCTTGTTTGAAACGCCATCTCTATCAGCGTGAAGGGGACCAAGACAATGTTGTAGGTAGATCACAGGATTAAGTATGGAGAAATCCAGGGTCCACCTCCCTGCTCAACCGTGAAACTCAGTTGGGTGATGGTGGTCTTGCTTCATCTCTGAGCCAACCCTACTTCACAGAACTGTTGGAGGATGAAAGGAGACAACCGCCACCAGGGATGTCCTAAGCAAGGTGGAAAGGTGGAAGATAAGTATGATATAGAGTGAGATGCCTCAGATGTTGCAAGCCAGAGTAGAGTTGATTCCTGTTTCAGCCCAGTGCAAATGCTTATGCTTAGTGGAATGTGTCACACACCCTCCTATTGTGGGGGGAACTTTTCTAATAATCTTTCTATTTTTCAAAATTAAGGCATAATCCCATTAACCCTGGAGTATTTCTAAAGAATCTTCTGATGGGGTTGGTTGCCATTACCAAACTTTTCCTTTGGAAAAGTTGGATTTTTTTTCTCTTCTTCTCTGTACTTGAGCTAAGTTGACTAGATGAAAGATGGGTAAGATATAAATATAGAAGAGCACAGTCCATGGTATTAAATAATTTAGAATGGGTTCTTCATGGGTCTTCTTTGGAGGACAATGAAATTATAAGTCATCGATTCTTCTCTGGTATTAAATAGATAGAGAAGATCTATCTATCTATCTATCTATCTATCTATCTATCTATCTATCTATCTATCTATCTATCTATCCATCCTTCTATCCATCCATCCGTCCGTCCGTCCATCTGTCTGTCTGTCTGTCTGTCTGTCTGTCTATTTATCTATCTATCTATCCATCCATCCATTTCCATCCATCCATTTATTTTTTCATCAATCCATCTTTTCATCCATCTATGCTTTCTACCTTCCATCCATCTTTCCATCTATCCATCCATCTATCCTTCCTATCTTCTATCCATCAACTTTCATCCATCCATCCATCTTTCCTACCATCCTTTCTACCATCCATCCATCCCATCTCAGGTGTGTCTTCTTCCAGATACCCTCCAAATCCCTTTCCCCACAGCTTCCCCCTTCCAGAAGACAAACTGGGAGATGGTTTGCATTACCAGGTGTTCCTTGCCGATCCTATTGCTGAATCATCACAAAATGCTTTCCATTATCATCTGTACTAAGCAAAGGAGAGTCAGCTGAGACTAACAACAACAAAAGAGGCTTTTAGAAACCCGCCTGGATTCCCACGGAGAGATTGCAGAATTTAGAGTCATCACCTGTGCAAACAATGAAACCTGATTCCCTTTTCCATGCATACGGGTTGATTTGCATATGGGGGGAATGGGGATCTAAAAGGGTCTCCTTGGTGTGCTAGATTTCCCACGGTCGAGGAATCTGCTTTGGTTTTCAAACAGTGGAACCTCCGAATATTCATCCCATGTGCACATTCCAAGTTCCAAAGTAGGTTTGTTTCATCGGCTCACCTGGCCTTTGATCCATCTCTTCCCTGCGAAAGGGCCGGGCTTGAGAGACAGGGAAGCAAAAGAGTCCAGCTTTAAAGACATGAGCTATTTTTTTTTTTCTGTATTGACAAAAGGACTGACAAATGATTTCCTGAAAACTATGGTTTCTATGCTGCTCTGTTCCCCCAAACTCTTCCTTTCCAGTATGTGTGGGGTGTGTGTGTGTCCTTGAAAGGGCTAACCAATGGAATTGTCATTAATGGCAACGTGTACGTCTTTGGCATTACCATGTAACAGTGATTCCAATGTTCCAGCAGTGACGGGCACAGCAAAACTGTATTATGTTTTATAACAAACAATAAAAAAGGATTTTATGGACATAACGTTGGCAGAGTGTAACGTCTGAGGCAGGCATGATGATGTCACATGAGGAAGAGGCAGCCTGGATGCTCATGATAGCGTGTACTACATCTTTGCTCCACCATCGTATACATCCACAGAAAGAAAATCCGTTGTTAAAAAGACAACAATAAATAGATTTTCTTTTTATTAATACACACGATGGTGGAGCAGAAATGGGACATATACTGTCAGCAAGATCCTCCTGTCCTTATCCTTCTCAAACTTGTCCTGTCCCCTTAAAAACACCAAAGCTTCTGGCTATCATATTTTTTGACAGCTTGGGGGAAAAAACCATACTAAGTTTTGTATCATGCAGTAAGACATGTTTCACTTAACTAGGTATTGCCGGATTTAGTTTGCTAAATGTACACATCCCTCTAAACCAAAACTGGAGAAGCCACATGGATGAAGGGTGTATCAAGCATCATGATTTACAGTTTGATAGATAAATCAAAACTAGCCTGGGGTTTATTTAGTATAATAAAGTTGTGGCTTTGGGTGATGCATGAAGGAGGTCTCTGTTTCTGGATCAAATTCATTTTCCACAAACCAGGCGCTGTACATAATAATAATAATCGTAATTGTTTCTTGAAATACTGCTACTGAAAGGCTCCATTTTCATAGCCTTTGTCTCATAATCTGCCACAGTTTTACTATTTCTGTCTTGCCAATTCTCTCTAAAAGAGACGCAATCATTTAAAAAGGAGGTTTTTGCAAGCTTTTTTTTTTTATTAAAAGAAACAACAACCACCTAATGGCTTGCAAAAATCCAGTTTTTCTTCCTATACGTCTGTGACATGAATGTTGATTAACAGACTAAATCTATTTAGTCTGGGGTATCTATAAAAATTGTAGCAAGTTCTATAAACTTCCTTCTTAGATACAAAAATGAGAGAATATTTAAAATCCCAGAAAAACAATCTATTTTCTATAGCTCATTACACTGCACACTAGAACGGTGTTTCTCAACCTTAGCAGTGGACTTCAATTCCCAGAGTTCCCAGTCTCCCAGGGAATTCTGGGAGTTGAAGTCCACCCATCTTAATGATATCAAAGTTGAGAAACACTGCACCAGAGGAGTAGCGTGCTGGTTTTGTATGAGCGTGTAAATCGTATTTATTAAAAAATAATTTTGAGCTGCTTCAATCATACAACGGAGTGGATGACTTCGGCAGCCATCTTTAATTTTAATTTGCCATTTTAATCTTTTCTCCTCTCCTTCTGAGAACGTTCCCTGGAAATTCAGAGCCTCTTCCAACTCTTCCTGACATCCCAATGGATGTTGTGCAGGCTGCTCATTTGGGCCAGAATGCTGTGAATTAAAAGAACTCGTGTGGCAACAAAGCTTTAATGGTGACAGATTGCAGCATTAGAGAATGAACGGACTCAGGTCGCCCATGGATTTCCTGGCAAGCGGAAATAAATGAGGCAGGAGTCCTGCCATAGAAACCTTGCTTAGCCTAGCCGAAGTGTTTTCCCCTGATGGCTGTGGATCTACCAGAGAGCTGCAAAAGTCAATAAAAGTTTGCAGTCCTTTTATTCTGAGTAGGCAGTTTCTCAGAAACAATTTGGATCCCGGACTTTCAGCTCAGCTATTCTTTTTCCCTGAGTCAATACATTGAGCGCTGTCCCCTTCTGGGAAGTTTATGGGAGTCGTCACTGTGAAAATACAAGAAAATAAAAATTCCACTCTCTTTTTACGAATCTTTCTTAAAGTCTAAACCGGTATGGACTTCAACTCCCGGTGAGCTGGCTGGGGAATTCTGGGAGTTAAAAGTCCACCCATCTTAAAGTTGCGAAGGTTGAGAAACAGTGATCTTCTAAACAGCCACGTGGTCAGTCTTGGTACAAAGTTTTTATTTTGACAACCTTCATATTTTAATGTCTCAAGGGGGAAAAATAAGGTGACCTGTTCAGTACTTATTTTTGTTTTTTACTCGTGAAAAAGACAGCCCGCAGCCACAGCTTGAAGAAATGTGTAGCTTTTGATATATAACTTCTGATTGTTCGTACCATTTACACTACAAGCTATAATGCAAATTGCTGGGTATGGACTTGGAGTCTTTATTTATTGATTTGATTTGATTTGTAGCCCATTTTGCTTCAAGGTGACCTTTGCAGGAATCCAACTCTTAAATCATGATTTGTCACTTAGCATTTTATGCAGACCTAGCTAACTTGAGCCACTAAAGGAAGCTTAAACAAACCTCGGATAAACACAATAAGAGAACCAATCCAAAAGGGAAGGGCCGACTCAGAATCAACTTTGTGCCTTAAACTGTAAGCCTCTAGTCCAGTGATGGCGAACCTTTTAGAGACCGAGTGCCCAAACTGCAACCCAAAACCCACTTATGCATGTCGAGTGCCAGGTGGGTGTGGCCCATTGGCTGGGCGTGGCCCATTGGGTGGGTGTGGTCCATTGGGTGGGTGTGGCTGCAGTGGTAATGGCAGACTGGGTGGGACTAAAAAGTTCAATCAATTCCAACTTTGCAAGATCTTTTTTTCCCCGCGAGAAGTTGAAATTGACTGATTGATTGAACCCTTTTTTTTTTGCACATGGCAGTGGAGGCCTAAAGCGAAAAGGTTTTATAAAACCCAGCTGAAGGCCTAGGACTGGGGCAACGACGTGCGTGCCCACAGACAGGGGTCTGAGTGCTGCCTCTGGCACCCGTGCCATAGGTTCGCCACTGGTTACAAAGGGCTTTTATTTTATTTTATTTTTAAAAAGTGATGGGACAAACAACTTTAACAATTAGGAACTGAAAAGCAAGGCTTCTTTGTCATCCAGCCTTTTCTTTCCTTTTTCTCTCTATCCCACGGCAAGCCAAATACCAGCGTGAAACCCACACAGATGCCACAACTTCTTCGGCTTGTCTTATGCAGCAACTGGCTTTAATTCTGCGAGAAGGGCAGAAACTGAAACCCCAGTCCATTGTTTCCATGCCATGAATAAATATAAACATGTGTTATTATGCTTCTCACAAACACACACACAAACACAGAGATGCTTGCACACATAATACAAAATGATGCTTGCATACAGTATTGCATATTCAACCCTGCAGAGTGTTCAGGTAATCCTCGACTTAGTC